AAAAAAAAGGTGGAAAACCTAAGTTGACAGTTTAATGTCATACACCTGATTTTGAAATAAGTGAGCTACGATGTCTTTGAATAAACAAGAATATTCTGCATTACAGCAATCACCACAATATGAGTCACAACAATGGGCGACTACAATGAGAGGTTCTTTCAGTAACACTAAGTAAAGCGCTATACAAATACAGGCCATTTTAACACTAGAGAGAACTGGGCATCAGAATTTCAATTCACTGCATCAGTATCTTACCTGAAATCATGGAGTACTTTCCGGCAGTGCTCACCATATTTTTTGCTACTGCTTTGGGAGCAAATCAACTCCAAAGAAGCCTGCACCTTCTTCACCTTCCTCAGCCAGCGCTGGCAGACAGTATCATTCTCTAAGTTAGAAGGTTCCAGGCTTTCAACACATGCCTTGGCTGCATAGACATCCAAAACCTACAGGAAAGTAAAGTAGTCTGTAAGTGATAGTTTTGCAATATTTGTAACATGCTGTGTCATTCTTGTCACAAGAATGTGAACACCAGGAATTAAGAAACGTGCTCACCATTGCCGGATAACCGCTAATCACCGGATTTTTTTGCAAAGGGGAAATAACTTCAGGATGAAGAGAAATCATCCGTGAGAGGTTCTGAAGACGGTTTTGGTACAAATGATAGGCAACGTGGATGAGTGGAAGAGAAAGCTCATCATCTTGTTTTCGTTTTCGTACTTCATCAGCACAGCTGGTCATTGCCTGACAGAGGAGCTGAGGAGTAAAGGACCAAATAGATTAATAACATATTGATCTATTTGTTATAATAATATATAAGTAACGGAATACATGTAACGGTGTTATGTATTTAAAATACAAAATATGAGTAACTGTATTCCGTTGCAGTTACCGTTTAAAAAGGTGGTATTCAGAATACAGTTACTTTGTTGAAATAAATGGATTACACGGCGGCCTTTTCCTGTTTCATATGTTAGGCTGTCCCCTCACTGTTTTTGGTAATTCCATGCCGGTGGAAACCCAAACAAAACACGCATCAAGAGGCTCTAATTCCTGGGTCTCAATCTTATGACCCATGTCACCTTGCAGCCCGCATAATGACATGACGAAATATTTTTAAAAATTATTGTTAATAACTGAACACGTTACAAAATACATTTTGGGACATGTATTCTGTAATCTGTAGTGGAATACATTTTAATAGTAACCTTCCCAACACTGTAACTTAAATTAGCATTACATGTAATATAATAGTAAAAATTGAAATTGAATTGAAATTAACACAACTTTTCAGTAAAGTTTATAGAGTTCCAGATGAGTAGCTACTACCGCTAGCTGTGTATAGTGTCAAAATAAAAATATAATTAATGGAGTAATACTTTAATCTCTATAACACTGAGTTATTGATTTTTCACTCCAGTTTGTTGACATGAATTATAATATTTCCACAATCAGTCCAACCTACTTACTGTATAGTGTATGGTGATTCGTGTTTAATAAAATTTTATTTTTTAAGTATAAAAATGGGTTTAGCTGATCTACATGGACATGTTGTTTGATTGTAGTGAACTTGACTGTTGGGACAGTAGAGAAAACTGTTACAAACCGTTACATGTTTTTGTTTTGCTGGAGTTCAAGTTCAGTGAGAGTAGTGGGATTTACAGCAGACTGAACATAACATTAATCAAACACAGATAAACAAGCATTTTCCAGCCACGGTGCAACATATCTACACTTAAGAAAATAAACTGTCATTTTGCACTAATGGAGATCAATATTATTCACAATCCTTCGCATCGCTCTCACCTTTAACTCTTCATCTGATGCCACTTTCATGGTCATGGAAACAAAATCTTGCAGATACCTTTTGCATAATTCTCTCTTCATTTTTTCATTAGCTTTCTCTGAGATGTAAGTGCCAAGTGGAGTTTCCAAGAACAAATCATAGAAATGACGAACTGAATGAGCTGAAAAAACACAAAGTTGGGAGAGTCAGTAATTTTTTAGATTTTAATCTAAAACTTTTTTTAAAATTAAAATTAAAGTGCAACTCTTAGAAAGTGAATATCTACATATGTTACTTGTAAAATATATATTTACTTTGATGTCTGGATGTTTGCATCATGAGCCCATCTAGGAACTCTTTGATCCACCAACTGAAGGGCAGGCGGCAGAACATGGTATGGCCACCTGTGACATGGCTTTGTACCATTAATACTCTGGAGAAGTGAGAGAGTCAGAAAAACAAGCAAACGAAAACCATTAGGGATGTTTTTTGAAACAGCTACTGTGATTTACTTTAGTGTACATACAATTTTCTTGTGCCAGATCATTAAAAAAATAAGAGTGTCTTGTCTTTCAACGATACAAATTAGATGTAAATAAAACAATATGCACTGAATACATCGGCCACTTCTTTGGCTCTTCAACTGCTCATTAACTAAAATTTCTAATCAGCCAACAACAGCAACTCAGTAGACGACCACATGTATTAGGTGGTACTTGATTGTAATGGAAAACCAGCCGATCTGAGTGGAATCGGGGCAAGTTGATCCAAGTAGGTACTAATGGAAAATAGGATAAATAGAAGTAACTGCGTGATTATTATGCCACACCACACAAAGCGACCTATGTGGAAAGCATACTGGCACCCTAATTCAGAAACTGCTGATCTACTGAGATTATTCCACAGAACCATCTCTATTGTTGCACCTCTAAAGCCACAACACATCAAACCCTGAAGTATATTGAAAAACTGGAAAAAAAAAAATATATATATATATTTTTTTTTGAAAAATAAAAAAACTGGAAAAACCGTGCCTGGTCTAATGATTCTTGATTTCTGCTGCTTTCAGATGGTAGCTCACAATTTGGCATAATCAAAATGAAAGTATGGAGCCATCTTGCCTTGTGTTAATTGTTCCAGCTGCTGGTGGCAGTGTGAGGAGTACATAATATTATAAATATATAAATAAAAAATATTATATTTTTGGTATAATTTGGGCCCCTTCGCATAAATTAAGAATGGTTTAAACAGCCACAGACATAGTGACGGTCATGACTATATCCATCTCATGGGCACATCCTATGGGTAAAGTGTGCTTCTCTAGGAATGAAGTGCCATGCCACAAAGCTCAGATCTTTAACTGGTTTCTTGAACATGACAGTGTTCTTCATGACACTGTCTTCAAATGGCCTCCACAGTCACCAGATCTCAATCCACTAGAGCACCTTTGGGATGTTGTGGAATGGGAGATTTGCATCATGAACAAGCAATCAAACAGCAACTGTGCAATGCTATCATGTCGATGCGGACCAAAATCGAATTGATTTTTCTAAGACCTTATTGAATCTTTGCCATGAAGAATTAAGACAGTCTTAAAAGCAACAGAGGTACTGGCCGAGAATGAGCAAAATGCACCCATGAATTGGCCAGTAACTGTAGATGCCTACATTCTCTAACCAAGAGATACCTACTTCTTTTCCACCCTGACGTAAGGCAAACTGAGCATCTCTTTGTTTCCAAAAATCTCAAGCCACAAGTTCACAATTTGTTCTTCATCTTCCAGGAGAAGGTCCATATTGCAATCTCGGTCAATGACTGAGACCAGGTAGGCTAGAAGTGGAGTGACAACTGCTTGGATTTTCCTCCACAGTGTGTGCCTGAAAGAATCATACAACATTCTTAAAATTGAACATAAATCTGCTGATATCTACTCAAAGTTACAGCTGAGGCAAGTCTGTCAAATGAAACCAAATCTGTTTGCATTTCTTTATGTTTGACGCAACAAACCTATCGTTCAATAAATTGTGAATAAATGTCAGAAATAACTGCATTTAAATGTACCAAAAAAGTCAAATGCAGACCATCAGAGTGTACAGCAAATATTAGAGGAACTTACAGGAACGTCCCTCCTTCTTGAAGAGCACTGTCATTAGATGCCTCATTTAGGACCCAGCTTTTTAGAATGGGCATATTGACCTCATTGTCCTTTAACAGTGAGTGAAGTCGCTTCCTCACAATTTTTGCAAACAATCCTTGGAAACAAAATTAAGTTCACATCACATTGTTGTATTTTGAATGCAGTTTCAGTATAGTGGTGCCCAGCACAGGGCTGATGTTAAAAGATCATCTTTACTGACTTATTTTCTAACCTTGAGTATGGTTTCCATCCAGAAGAGTGAGCAGCTTCTCAACCCTCTTAGTGCTGAATTCACCACTGTTTGCTTCATCTCTCAGCATGCTCACTGCACTCTGAACACAACTTCTCACCAAATTTGTATTATCAAACAAACATTCCAATGCCTGAAACGAATAATTAATAGCACCAGCACACATACACACTAGTTATTCACAACACTAAAACCACTGCAGACAACAAAGGTAAAAGAAAGAAACTGTGGACAAATGTTAAAACTATTCATTCAGCAGGTAATTGGATTGCACTTTGGTGGAAATACAGACACTATTCTTTAAGGTAAATAACACTTAAATGGCACTGTAAATAACGTGGTAAATAACACTTACAGTGGAGTAATATTTCTGTGGCACACCAGTGGAGTCTTCTTTCTCTATGGCTTTGAAAGAGAGAGAATTTTGCATGTTTTCTTCCATAATATACAAAATATAATGTAGAAAAAGGATGTGATTAATTACCCTCAGATGGATCTTTAAAAAGATCACTTATAAGTTTATTTTTAAGGGAAAGAGCATCGGAAAGAAACTCTTTTGATCTTCTAATATCATCAATGTGAACAGACCTCCAAGGACCTGAAAAAGTCACATTAAGAAAGACGTGAGTTTCAGCTGATATTTAAAGTACATTCCCGTTTTTGATGTTTCACTTTTGGTGTTACATAACAACATGCTGTGTTTTGTATATTGTATATAAACTAATCTCATGACTATTAGTGTTTTTGTGCTATTAAAACATGTTGTTATGTTTGGAGATGAACGGCAAACCCTCATCCCACTCTTGTGAGGGTTTGATGAAATCTTTCCCTGACTCTCCGGGCACTATGGACTGGATAATACATATATAATCTGCAACTTATCAACAACCTGCGCAAACTCCTTTGATGTAAAGTTGGTTCCTTGGTCAGTTTGAATAGTCTTTGGGAGCCCGAAGGTAGAAAGAAACTTAATTAGTGCCTTTATTACCATTTTGGCTGTGCCTAGTGGAATTACCCGTAACCTAAAGTTGTCATTCCTAGCAATTGTTTCGATGTCTCCCTACAGGAAATGGAGACCTCCGTATTGCCAGACAAGCTTATCTCAAGCAATCACAGAAATAGCCAGAAGCTCACCTATCCCAGATAGCAAAATTGGTATGGCCCGGATCTGGCCCACACAATGTGCTTACACATGGCCCACATACCACAAAATGACCCTTTGGTGGCCCAGATCTGGTTTGCCAGAGGTGGCCCACACATGGGCCAGCACAAGGCCAGTTGTAGACACACTGCTGGCCCTGTGATGGCCCAGAACAGTTTCAGCTCTGGGCCCACATGTCAGCCTAATGTGTACCTTCATCAAGCCATGTAATAACAACATGTGCTGGAACATAATAGTGCAAAAGTAACATGACAAAACTCTGTTCAGACAGTGAACGGATTGATTCTTATATAGCGCTTTTCTACTCTCCTGGATTACTCAATGTGCTCTATACAACATGCCACATTCACCCAATCACAGACTTTCTCTAAACTGAGTGCTTCCTAACTACATTCATACACATTCACACTCTTAACATGCACACTGCATAAGCCAGGGATCGGACCACTAACCTTGCAATCAGTAGGTCTACCTCCTGAGCTACAGCCACCCAGTGGTAAACATGAGTAAACCTTCACTAGGTTTTGGATAAAGTGCACACTCAAAAACCTGTCAAACCTGCCTTTAAAACGTTGGCTACCATAGCAGTATAGTATTGCAACATGGCATTTGGGTCTTCTAATCACACTCAACAAAAATATAAATGCAACACCTTTGTTACTGCTCCCATTCCCCATGGGATGGACGTAGAGACCTAAAATTCATTCCAGATACACAAT